CTTATTCAACTGGATTCTATTTAACACAGTATAAGATAAGCGATATGCATACGAGATTATGTTAAGCAGCCACGGACGTCTCGGTCCTTATCTGACGAACCGTTTTCATAATGAAGTGGTTGAGTTTTCTAGATTGTCGATGGGGTTGCCCGTAGCGCTTGTTTGAATTCTAGCCAGCAAGGTATGCATTTGTTCTCGGTTGCTTAATTTCTTTTCAAGAGTTTATTTTTTTCAAATATTATTTATTTTTTTGTTTCCGTATTATTTGGTTAGTTAGCAAATTTGTAATTAGTTATTTGTAGTTAGTTATTAATGGTTAGCAGTCTGTCGTTTAGTTCGTATAAAGTAAGTAAATTTGCTTTCGTTCTTAATTTTTATGTTGCAATTCCTTGGTAAGAGGTGCGACAAAACCCTTCTATATTCTGTCTTTCAGTCGCGGAATTTTCAAGAAGAACAAAATTCGAACCAGTGAGAAATCCAATTTTTTCAGTTCTGATATAAGTTTTTATGAAATATTGAAAATTTGGCTCTTAGCACCAGCCTTAACTTTGTCTTCTAATGAGTTCTCCAATAAGACGAAATAAAACTTATTGATTTACGCAACTGCCTTTCTCAGCGAAACGTTTAGTTAAACATTGAAAGAAATAATAAAACTGAAGTTTTTCTTGAGCCTACTAACTCGGGTATCTGTCTAAAGTTTGATCCTATTATCATGTACATGATGAATGGGCAGTTAGTTTTAAAAGACAGAGCTTTCAATTTCGGCGCTAATTCTCGAAAAAGGTAAAGAATTAAATATGATTACTACTTGATAACTTGATAGCTATTGCATGTAATTAAATTAATTTTAAGCAAAATAATTTAACTTGCAGAGAAAGATTTCATTTGAAAGGAGACAAGACGATAACCGCTTCTAAAGTAAACCCTTTAAATCTTCCCATACCATAAAACGTAGTAGCAAGTTACTGAAAATGCTATTGAATATTTGTTATCAACAGAAGTTCTCAGTCAGTTTCGACGGCTGCTTTTCATTTCCGGCAGCTATGGCCGTAGTATCAAACAGTAATTCTAAATTTGCCGCTTCTTCGCCAGCAAAAGATAACCGTATTTTGGGCAGAGTTTGTTGAGGAATTTCGTTCAGGTCATTGTTAGCCTTACTAGGGTCTTCGACCGGTCGTTCAGTAAGTAGTAGCTTCAGCAAGAGGTTCTAATAATTCTGATTCTTTATTTATACGCCATAATTCGCAGTAGTGATTCATTAGGCTGGGTTCATAGATTGTCATATATTAGCAGAAAATTCTTCAGCAAGAATCAGGAAGATTATCCTCGATGAATCACCACATATCTGTCAAATTGGAATAGAAAAATGTCATTGATCATGCAGTCCTGAGGCAGTGTCAGCCGTGACATAACGTATTGGCACATTAGATGAGTGCTGTCATGCTTGTGACTAAAAATTCATTTGAGCTGTCGCGTAGGCTTGTGAATTGACTTGCGCCACCAAATGTACCATCTGGTATGAAGTACAATAAAAGTCTCAAAAGTTAATCATCTTAGTCAGAAGAAAAGTTCCTGATTCAAAACCACAATATCAATACTGCCTTGAAGAAGCCTCCAGTCAACTAAATTTCATTGCGACATAGCGCTGCTCCATTGTTCATGGTTCTTGGTGGTCTAATTAGGTTGATGGCTGTTTGATGGAGTTGTAATGCTTCCAGCTCATAGCTGCATCTCCCTTTCTTTTATTGGCTACAGCAGTATGTTGTTCGTAACGTACGTTTCAGGAGCCTGTTTTTTGTATCCATCAATTTTGATGACTACTTGTTTTTTTCACGTGTTGGAAGCAACAGTATTAGACAATATCTCCAGAGTTCTCGACCCTGTTCCATCGTTGGAGTTTTGATAGAAGTAAACCAGAGTTCATCGAGGCACTTGTCCTAACTCATTCTTGGTTATTCTCGAGGTCTTCAACCTATCCGCTGAGCAAATCGCGGCTGTTTTGCCTTCCTTCTTGGAAGAATTCGTAAAATATGCTCAGACTCTTGTAGCAGGACTTCTCAGTATGAACGATGTCATGGTTTTTCCAGTTCACACGTGTATTGCAGGTGAATTATAAGTAGTGTTTGTGCAACCTGGTGAATCGATCTGTATAAACGATTGATCAGTTTTTTTATTTTCTTTGTTTTTTATTGTTGCTTCAATGTCGGTCTAGAAAATGGCAATCAGATATTTTTTATCAGCTCTAGCTGCTGAATTCTCAATTTAAAAAAAAATGTACTCATTATCTTCCATAGTTGCCAGTTTAGTGCAAAATGCTAAACAATTCATATTAAAATTTCTTTTAAGAGCCAGTGCAAGCTTTCGATTGGGAGCCGCTGGGTTCGAAATTTGCTGTGATCCAGGGCGACCTGAAAACGAACGTCAATTTCTACACGCTTCGCACATCGCCGCTTGGAATTTCGCATCTGAGTCCGTGCAAAAAATTTGAAAGCCTTTGATGTCCCTTTCGGACTGTCAGTTTTTCGATTTTAGAAACGCTCAGTTTCAAACAGCAGGTCAACACCATATTCTGGTCTCCCGTCGGACAGTATCTTGTATTCGCCGGACTGAAGAGGTTAGTAAATAGTTAGTGATTCCATTTTTATCAGGTTTTGTTTCTTCAGTGATGTAACTCATTAGTGATTGCGTTTTCGTCGTCCATGTCTGTTTTTAAAGCCCTTCTTTTAATGGGTGCGGATCAGTTTTCACTTCTGTTTTTCAGGTAGAGTGAGGTTCATTTCGTTTTGATAACTGCTGCATGAAATTTCTTATTTTTTTTCACTTGTTCACTTATCTCATGTCAACCAAGGGGAGAATTGTTCTTGAGTGATTAATATTTAATCGTTTTGATGCATCATTGAAAATGGCAGAAATCTGTTTCGGTCTAACCCGATATATTAAGTTTATTATTTAAGGAATCTTCGACGTCTGAAAGAGATCCGGTCCGTCTTCAGAAAATGAAATCAAACAAAGCAGATTTATATTACAATCTAAATTAAACAACTTTTCACGTTAAGGGGAGAAGCATTTGTAAGTGAGGATCTGCCGATTCATGAAGGGACATATAGTGAAATAAATTAGCAGCTATCTTTGTCAAGTAATGTTTCAGTTAGTTAGTTAGCACGTCAACAATGTATTTATGTATTTATTCTATTTACCTCTACCGTAACTGTATTACGTTTATTACTTATAGTCTGTTGTGCTTTAATATACCTGGTCAGTCCGAATTGTCCTGTTACTGTCGGAGTTTGATGAAGGCAAGAAATTGAAAGGTTGAGTATGGTGACAAATTGGAGGCTTATAAGGATGAGGACGATTAAAATGAGCGGGTGAGGAGGAGAAAGTTGAGAATTTTGATGGTGAGTATAAATAAAGGAAGATGAGGGTTGAGAGGGTGATGTTCTTGCGAACGATGTTGATTAGATTTCATCAATAATATTCAGGTTTAGCTGAAATTAAGATTTTGTATAAATACAGTGTCTCATTTGTGTAGTTTTCCTCATGAATAAAAGATCCGTGCGTAGATTTATAACGAACAAATATCCTGTTAGTTTATTTTATAATGATTTTTTACGAGTTTTAAGAGACAGGTTACCGCTTATGCAAGGAAGTCATAAAATATATGCTCATTTTCTTCAGCATTGTCGCGGCTAGTGCAGGATTAGTAGGGGTCAGCTCTTGAGTGTCTGTGCGTTATGCTCTCTGACGGTTTTGGGAGTCATCATGGACGCCAGCTCCTGATAGATTAAGTCTGACGCTGTCTGAGTAAGCTGCTACGAAACGCATATATAACATTTTGGCTTTTGTAAACTATTAATAATCTTAATGCATAATAATTAAAAAAAATCACCTGTTTGTTTGGTAACCACTCTGACGAGGAATATGACGTTTGCCTGGTTAGCGATATTCAGAGATCCGATTTGAGATCCGATTTGTAAGCCATCACTTATCTGGGGAACTGCTTTTCAAGTATTGTTTACTTAAGATCAGTAGTATATAAGTGAAATATTTTTTTGGAAGAATCAGAGAGCAGTGGCGCAATGGATTGTTTTTGATTTGCATGTTAGTCGTGCATTATTTCAGTCCTAGGATGGCGTATAATTTTTTTTATTATGTTCTAATTCTCTTCAGTAGTAAGCTCACTTTATAGTGGTACGGTGTGGCCAGCGGAGGGACTTATAGCAAGTTTTTGACGTGCTAACAGTGAGGATAGTGTGGTCTCCTGATGTATTCAGGGACTGCTAAGTCGATAGAGCGTTTGATTCAAAATCAGTAGATCCTGAGTGTGAGCCCTGGTAGGGCTACTTGCCGTTCTTCCATCTGAGGTTGATAAATGAATAACTCTATGAATAGGTAACGGCAAACTTCACACTATGCTTGCCAGGTAGCGGCTGTCGAATCTACCGTTAAAATGAACCAATCCTGACTGATGGCTTAGAAATGGAGATCAGCGCCGGATCATTAACTTCATGACAGCAAGGGTGCCAGAAATGGCTCCATCATGAAGGGTAAGACACATTCCAGCGGTAATAGATTTCTTTTTTTCTTCTAGTGTAGTAATGTTACACATACGGCTTCAATTGGTCTTTACACGTCTAATAGCTGATTAAGTTATTATATGGTATAGCCTGTCAATTAAAAACTAGCAAATAGGAAATTAGTTCCAAATGCATAGTCAGTTCTTAGAAAATGAGGGAAAATTGCTCTTCTGTACGCGATTGAAGTATGGGTTCAGCTCTCGATGTTTCGATAGCCTTTAGAACTGGGTATTGTCCATTATTGAATTGATAGTGCTAGATCCTAAGATGTGTTCAAAGTCTGTACTTGGAAATACCTCCAATAAAGCACGCAGTATTGTTTTTCGGTTATTCTTATGATTTTGACTTAAGGCACTACATGTATTTCATTTGTTTAATTTCATTTATACTTTAGCTTTCGAACCTTGTCGTTTCTATATAATTGTTTTTTGCTATCATGAGTCTCACATCTTTGGTGGTTTAGCACTGTTGGTGGCACACTGGCTTTCGTCGATGCCAGTGGTACAGACATCAATCTGACCAACTCTCAAGAACACACAGGAGTTACGGATGTTGTGTGGGACCCAACTGGTCGTTATGTGGTGACCAGTGTCAGCAGCTGGACTGGCGGCCGAGGAGGAGACACTGGCTATATGATGTGGAACTTCCTCGGCAGGCTTCTGCAAAGAAAGCCTATCGAACGGTTCTGTAAATTTGCCTGGAGACCTCGTCCTGCTCCACTGCTGCCGGAATTGAAAATAAAGGTAACGGTCTCGTTCGCATGCTTTCGATCCAAGCACCTTTCAGCCAATCTACAGTTTTCTTAAGATTTTTGTGACAGTATGAGTTTTAGTTCTCAAATACCAAGTTAAGCTTTTTAGACTTCCTTGCTGTTGTTTAAGCGAATTTTACAACCGGATTTTATTTGCAATAATCACTCACGTAATTGAGGTACTTTTGACTCGGTGATAACCTTATAGGTGGAACCCATGACAAAAAGTGTATAACAGCGACTTTTATTTGCTATTCAAAAAGATAAGCGGTCATCGAAACTAACTGACTAACGGCGATCTTCGTTCTGCAGGCCTCCGTAAAAATGTTTATTGTGAAACAGCGTACTCTTTTTTCCTCGAGGCCTTCATCCTTTAACCATGTTTCTAGGAGATCAGAAAGAATATGAAGAAGTACTCTTCAATATTTGAAGAGAAGGACCGGCAGATATTGAGCAAGGCTTCGGAGGTAATGCTGATTTGCTTTTATTTTGGATTATTAAAAGATTTTCTAAAGGAAATTCTGAATCGTCGTCGCAAACTCGTCGAGGAGTTCAATAAATGGCGCGAGCCGTTGGTCGACCAGTGGAATGCGGAGAAGCCGCTCCGTGTGGAACTGAGAGGTGGGTTTCGTGCATTTGCTTAGCCTCCTGACTTGTTTTCAACCGTGCCATATGATTTAGGCGTGGACACGGACAGCATTTTTGTTGTTTCCGATATGCAGGAGGAAGTTGTTGAATATTTAATTAACGAAGAAGAAACTGTGATCGCCGAGTAGTCCGCTTTGAATTTCAGATTGTTTCTCTTTGTCTTCGGTTTTTTTTCAATTACTTGTTCAGTGTTGATGAGTGACAGGTTAGAAACTTCGTTTTTTAACCCCACGATTTTTTTAAATTTGGCTACGTTGCTCGGCTATTTTAACGGGGCATTGCCGGTCGACTATAGGATTGAGCGTTTTACGCTCTGTGCCATTAAGCAGCTATGCTGTAATTTGTGCATTAAAAGCGTTACAAATGCAGCTGAATTGCTTTTTTCGTTACTGGTCTTTTTCGTTGTTGTGTCTGAGGTTAACAGGTTTTGTGTACTGAAGGTTTTGTTTTTAAAAGTATCATTTGAATGTTGCTAGATGGTTCCGTGTGTTAGAACGTTCCATCTGCTCAATCACAATCGCACTGATGGAGCTATCTACCTTAGGTCTAGGGCGTAGAGAGTTGAGTCCCCGCTGAGATCCTGTTGCTGCGTAGCTACCAGGTTTCAGCGTTGTGGGGGTATAGCAAGCCGCCTGAAAGAACGGGCTTTTTTCTCTAACGAATAGTCTAAAATAACTACACTGAAACTCTTGCTCAGTGTTTTGTTTGATTCGAGAAATGTGAACTTAAAGTTCGCTCGGTCGAGATGGCAAAAGATATTGAAGGCAAAACCTTGGGAAGGCAGAAAGTATTGATTTCGCCTTAATAATTCAGTGTATGCCATATGTAGTTTTCTTTACATTTAGATCTTCAAGTTTTGTATGGAATTAAATGCCAGCGGTCAGATGATGTGTCATAACTGGGCTACATAAATTTATTTGTTCATCAACTCCTGACAGCAGCGATTTTAATGTACAAAATTTATTTCATATAAACGAAACAGTAGCTATTCAGTAGTTGGCACAGTGCTTTTGAGCGCAATTTATTGGCTGGTCAGGTCTTGCATTTTGATCATACGGTAGTAAATGCCTTTTCTGTTCATCAACTGATTATGCTTGCCTACAACTGATCTGTTAAGCATGTTGCAGAGCATGGATAGTCATTACCTTCTTCCGCGATCCGGCCTTCTTTCAGAACGATAATCCAGTCTGCGTTCTGCACTGTTGAAAGTCGATGAGCTATTAGAATGCTAATTCTGCCTGTCGTGGCCTTTTCTATGGCATCTTGTACCATCTGTAAAATGCAAAAGTTAGCTAATAGACCTTTTACCGATTTTAGAAAGTTTTCAAATCTACTGATAGGAAAATGAGCGCAAACGTTTTGTTTATTTCATCTCGGAGAATGGCAGTCTAACGGTCACTATCGAAATACTGGAAACAAACATGATTAGTTCAGCGTATATTAACTATTATATTATCATAAGTACAGGCTGGTAAGTTTGAGTATGTTAAACGCGAATTTCTTAAAGCCGAATTTTACTCTACCACTTTGTACTGCTGGTTTGCTCCTAGACGTTTGGGAGCAATCTCACAGCTATTCATCATGTTTGAGCACCTAGAGTGTTAGATCTTCATTTTATGCACAGCAACGTTGTCTCCAATAATATTCCAGGTCTCGGTATTCCTTGTATGCGTTAATAGCAAAAGTTTCCCTCTGCAACAGCATCTGAACGAAAACAAAACTCCTGTAAGTCATTTTGCGATTTATAGCATCGCTCCTTGATCCTGATAAGTATTGACGATATTAAAATGCCGCCGAGCACCAGTCTTATGTAATTAGTAACATGTTCCGGCAAGCAAAATATTACTTATTTTTCACAAAACATGCAATGTAACCTGCTTTGGAAACATCGTTGTGTAA